AAAACTGGGTATTGAGAAAGTAGGACTTTAATAAATAAAAACAGTGAGTCAGTAGTTCTGAGCCAAAGAGCAGAGGATGAAAAACGGAGCTGTGGGAAAACACAGTACTTGTTTGAGAAAAGTCCAGTTTGACAGGCACATATGATTCATGTGATGGGATTAGCAGGAGATATGGGGGAAGTCGGATAATTTTAGATAATTGGATGGTTTTTAATATGAAGCTAAGGAGTTTGGGTCCTATAGGCAACTGTGTGCCGTTAATTTTCATTTTAAGAAGTTACGTAATCATAGTTGCATTGCAGAGATTGATTGACTGGATTAGAGGAAAGATTAAGTCAATACCAGTTAGGTGACTCTTGCAGTGGATAGGTGAAAGGTAATGAGGGCACTGGGGAAGGAAGAGTGGTGTGGTATTGTGGATGGATGACCTGGTGTATGGTTGGATATGGGAAAAGATGAGGAGAAATGAGTCATATAATTCAGAACTTCCTAGTTTGGGGAAACCAAGAGATGGGAGGTGTTTTAAAGTAAAACAGACATAGGAATGTTGCAAGATGAAGCTGATTTTGCAAGTGGCGGGCTTTAAAGGTACAATATTTCACACTGAAATGTTGAATGTTAGGTTTTAATGGACTATCCAAGTGGGAGATGTTCAACATGCGTTTAGATTCATCAGCAAAGAGGTCAAACTGGTAATAGAGACTTGGAATTATTTGTTGCTTAACATACGTGAAATAACTCAGGGAGACAGTAAAGTTTTAGAACCAAAATGAAGCCGGTACTAGGGAGGATGTAGTAATGTAATGCCTCACTGGGGTGAAGTTTCTAAATTAGAGTTAAAAAATTACAACTGCATAGTGCTTTATAATTTACAGTTGTTTCATACTCTGTTCAAATCAATACTCAACTGTCTGGTGAGAAAGGCAGAACAAGTATCATTGCTGTTTTTCATCTGAGAGAATTACAGTTAGGAAGGGCAAAGCTGTAACTCAGTTCTCAATCTTCTGACCTCACACTTTTCTTTCAGGGATTTTTAAAGTGTTCTTGGAACTGGGGATATAGCTCAGCGGCAGAAGCGCCTGCCTGGCAAGCGCAAGGTCCTGAGTTCAATCCCGGTACAAAAAAAAAACAGAACTAAAAACTAACGTGTTCTTTAGAGCCCTAAACTTGCTTTTAAATGGCCCTGAGGATATTACCTCGAGAGCACCAAAGAGGCTGGATGGCTCTCTCTACCCACAATTTAGCCAGAATAATTCTCAGAGGCAGTACAGTAAAAGACTTGAGAGCTAGGTCTCTCTAATCAGGTGGCCTGAATTTTAATTCCTCTTTCCAATTGCCTAAATTCTAATTTCTCTAATTTTAATTCTAATTCCAGCACTCCCTCTTATATGCTGAATAACTTTGGGCATCTTACCCTCTCTATGGGTGTGGTGGCACACATCTGTAGTGCCACTGCTTTGGGAGGCTTAGGCAGGAAGATTGCAAATTTGAAACCAGCTTGGGCATTTTAATGGCTTAGCAAGACTTTGTCTCAAATTTAAAAAGGGTTGGGGAATGTAGCTCAGTGTGAAGTTCAATCACCAGTACCACAAAAACTTCCTCAAGTGTAAAATAGTATCTTCCTTAGAATATTATTTCTGGGGTCATTTTGAAGATTGAATTAAATCATTTAAAGTCTATAACAGTGTCATTCACATATAAAATGCTCAGCAAATGTCAGCTTTTATTATCTGTTTTATATTTTGGAGTTATACATAAAATTTCTTTTGAAAAAATTTGGTAAAATAATTTTGTAAACATTCTATTATGTGCTACCTGTTTGAAGTCCAGACTTCATAAACCAAGTATTATAGTCATTTTTTCACAGTGTCTATTGTATGCTAAAAGTTTTTATAGCTGACACCATGACAGATGCCTCTTCATAGAGATTTCTGACATGCTGAAGCAGGGAAGTTGGAAAGACTTATTTTAGAGAGAAAAGCAGTCTGGCTTGTAATTGGTATAAATATCGAATCAGTGAACTAGTTTAGGCTATAGTAACTATACAGATGATCTCAGTTCACTGTTAAGATAACAATACTGTTTCATACAAATAAGTAATGTACCTGTGACTTTTATTGCAAAGGAAAATGTTAACATCAAATACATATTATAGGAAGAGGATATGGAAAAATGCATATTTTCTTAGGAATTGCCTTA